AGGCAATTTAATCAGTATTTAGTAAATTTGTCATTTGATATTGTAGATTCTTTCATCATATTTCACTTTAATCAAGAAAGGTAACACCTGTGGTTTATTCACAAAAGCTGCTTTTGTTCAGTGAACACCCGCAGGCCATGAAGCAATTACATTTGTTGCTTGTACCAAAGTAGGAGGCACTTAAATAGACCTTAGTAGGGATAGATGAGAGTTTGCAGACTTTATTCTTTTGTCCAGCACTGAGATTAGTTCTTATCATAGCTCAAGAAGGAAGCCTCTGAACTGAAAAGAAAAGATGGGAATGACTTAAAGTTCTTCTTAAATTTGAAACTTTCATATTGCTGGGGGTGATGTGAATACCTGTGACCTTACGAAAGTTCAGGCTTCATCTGCTCCCAGCTGATTGTACGTGCTGATGTTCTTTGACAAACACAGGCTGCTTGGAATTCCAAAAGGAGAGACTGCAAGAGATTCATGTTTATAATTCTCCACTTATTTATTAAAAATCCCTATTTCTCCATCTTTAGTACCTCCCCCCCTCCAAAGTCCCCCAAAATCACAAACCAAAAAAAACCCCACCAAAACAAAAAAACCAACCCAAACCACAAAAGCCTATTTTCATTTGGGCTTGGGGATATTTTTGAGGCAGATAATTTAATCTGTTAACCTTACTTGCAGTATATTAGTTTTCTAGTATGCCAGTTAACACAGCACCAGGCATCTCATCTCTTGAAGTTAGTGAGATGACTCGAAGAACAAAGTTTGGCGTCATGTAAAAAGACCAAAAGAATACAATTCTTTGTTGATTTCCCCCTGCCCGTTTATGTAAATTAATGTTTTATGCTAGTAAGTATGCATCAACTACCCGACCCGTACTGCAGTTTTGACGCTTTAACGGTACCACCAAGGAGATGACAACAGCCCTGCAAATTTCGCCAGTTTGTCGCAGTGAGAGATGGCTTATTTATCTGAGCTGAAACAAAGCTTCTGCAACAAGCTCAGTTGTTCTAAATGATAGTCTTGCTCTTCTGGTCTATCTGCTCCTATACGAGAGCCCTCAGAGCCTTGGAAGGGAGAAGGGGGAAGAGCCATGTGTCTGCTCAGCGTCCTGTATTCTCATGCATATAAGGTGCACCTCAGATAACCGGTTCTGCCTGAGAGCTGCTGTTCCTTGGAAATAAATCCTCAGATAATCTACACAAAACTAGAGGCACAAGGGTTGCTGAGGCAAAGAGAGTGGTCTGCAGACGACCAGAGGCAGCGTGTTTACGTGTAACCCTGCACTGCTGTGGAATTGCTGGTTTTGCATGTGACCCACTGGTTAGTTATGTGGCAATTCTGTTCTTGGGCTTGTGAGACTTGCACATCTTACTTCTGGCCTGTGGGCAAGGGACAACTGAAATGCTGTCCAGCCTAAGTTAAATGCTTTTGCCACTCCTGTCAATATTTTTTGTATTCAGTCTTTCTGTGTGTAGTAATGGTAACTGTGATTTCAGTTGTACTTCTTAGATAAAATTCATTTTGTCTAAGAGGTCCATGGCCTGTAGATACCAAAATGAAACATTGTGAATTGTCAAGCAAGTGGCTTTCCCATTGCCTTGGGTTTTTTTGGCAGTTGCAGCCTATTGGTGTGTAATTAATATATTCTTACTACAAATACAAGCTTTCAATAGTTATTTTTTTTCTTTGGGTAGAAATGTACCTTATGCCCAGCTACTGTGCTTGCATAGTTTTGAGGCGTTTCAGATTGGGTCCTGATTCTGCAAAGGTTGATCCTCAAAGTTAACTTTATTCAATGTGAGTAATCCCACTGAAATCAGCGATGTGGTCTAGGAATAGCTTGGTGCATAAACCCTTGAAGGATTCTGGCTTTAGCATTTATTTCAGGGGGGTGTAAACTTTTCTTTTAATTAATGATTACGGCCTGTCACTGGTATTTGGTTTTACATTTTCATGTAATTCATGTGATTTTTTTTATTGCATGTCTTAATTCTAGGTTGTAGTGAAGTGCCTAGATGATGGACAGGCACCACACAAAGGTATTATACTGTATTATCGCTAGATGAATCATACATTGTGACAGTACTCTTAATGACAAATTTAGAGGTATAGGGTCCTGTCATACCTTCCATGGAGAACTACGAAGGTTACCATAAGTGGTGAATTTCAGGATATAGGAATATACTTCATTGCAAATGTTCTATCTGGAATGCAAACTATGAACATTTGTCTAGACAAGTAATTACTAGAAGTAGTAAGTGATACGCCACAGCTGGCAAAAGCACTTTATTTTATTTTTTTATACTTTTGGAGCATGGAAGAAAGATGGGAAGGTCTAGAAGTGTTTGGATATACTTGTGTTATGAGCGGGTCCTTATTTCACATAGTAACAGATGAGCTTCGCGTTCCGCCTATGAATCGGGGAAAGTGAGAAAGCGTGGGAACCAGTAAAGTAGAAGGGGAGCTGGTAGTGCCCTGCGTGTGGAACAGTAGCATGTTGCAAGAAGTGACGCTTTTTCAGAAATGTGAAATGTTAATGTGGGTTTGCTTTTTTATTTCATTAAAAAATCTTCCTTTCATAGTAATTCATGCTTCTCCTTTTTGTATATTTGCTGAGATAGTCTTTCAAAATGACAGTAGTTGATGTACGATTTGTAGTTCTGGTAGATGCTGGATGGTAGAGTTTGCACCAGGAAGGTCAGAACGCTGCTTTGCATTGTAATATGCACCTGAAAAACGAACTCATGTAAGATGTGGACACAGTGAATGCTTTAGGTGGGTACACTGCACTTAAGTGAAGACGAATATCCAACTAACCCAACAATTGCTGCTGGACGTTCTAAATACGCTGTATACCACAGAATTTTTGAGGAAAACAGGAATGTCAGTACATTCTCAAATGGAGACCTATCAAAAAGTCTGTCCACGTGTGATGAGAAGTATATTCTATGCAGGTCATTTGACTCTGGATAGATTTTTTTTTTTTTAATTTATTTATTTTAAATTGACTTCTGGCTGGTTATTTTGTTTGCAAAGCTGCTTGGCCAGGAGGAGGGCCAAAGTCACTTAGCTGAAACCAACTGGCCTTCCCAGAGACAGCTCTTCCATGCACATGCCAGCAAGCTGATAAGCCAACAAAATAACCCAGGTGGCAGACGAGCTGAATATGGAATTCCTCTATTGAAGGACTGGGAGAACAAGGAGTAAAGGACCTTGATAGAACTGGCAGATCAGTTTAAAACAAAGAAGGCAGCACTCCTTTATACAGGAGACTGTGGAAGGAGACAGTATCAGTAGGTTTCAAAAGGGTTTAAGACATCTTGCTGGTCTACAGCTCCACATGTCAAGTCTAAAATGAGGCAGGGACGCGTGCCCTCTGACATGCCTAAGCACCTATCCTGGATACCAAAGAAGTACAGGGGGGCGGTTGGGAGATGGACAGGCTCACATATGCTTTCCACGATGAGCATCTCTTTTTGCCACTGACAGAGACAAACTATTGCTTCTTAATCCGCAGCTTATATATTTGCCACAGCTCAACAGAGGGACCCTGGGGTAGCGTGCTATCCTCACGTCCTCATCTGGTAACAGGTGGGAGCGTGACTAAGCAAGAGCCGAAAAGGCTTATTTAAAGACAAGGTTCCCGGTAAGTGTTACCTGGCCAGATACCTAGAAGTACCAACAATTACACTTCAATGGCATTTTCCTCAAATGTTTATCTGGGCGACCTGGTTTTATTACTAATGGTTTACACCCAGACTTCACTACTAGAGTGGTATTTTATTTTGTTTAGTCTGTTATATTTGAATTCTGTATATGTAGACTATAGTATTTATGAGTCCACGTGGCTTATTTCTAACACATTAATGTTTATACTGCTCGAACTCTGAGTTTCATTTGAAATTGTTTTTTTTAATTTTACTCCCGTATTTTTTTTCTCTGAATTGTGGGCATAGTAACGTTTCAAGTACATATTTGATTTTGGAAAAATGTACGTTAACTTAAAGTCCATGTTAAATATTATCTAGATTACGTTGCTCCTTCTAAATTTTCAGCCTGGTTTAGAATTTTAGAAACAAAAACAGATGAGAAAAATAATTATTAAGTATTTTATTTGGTAACTTGTAAGAGGTTCTATATGTTTTTAAAAAAACATATCAAAGTAGTGTTGTATATTCCAAGCGGAAATCTTAGTTTAAGACTTATAGTAGCAACTTTTTCATATATGAAAGCTTTACACTCTTTATTTAGGTGACTAATACATCTATGTTGCTATTTCGCATTTTGTCATTGAGTCAGTCAGTGAATGCCATGAATCTATGGTATGTAATATAGTTAATGCATAATATATATAGGCAATGAAAGGTCTTTGTCATATAGTATAAGGTCACCATCATTAATTTTCAAATTATAAAAAGGGATTTGCTGGTTTGTGATCATCATTATTGCAATATAATGTGTTGTGGATTCTGCCCGCACATAGAATGAACTGTGATCTTAATTAGAACTTTGACAAGCCTACTCCGATAAAATGATGAGATTATTCGTAATTGATGTCACAATCAATTACCAGTTAGTTCATCATGAATCTACTAACAGGTCTAGCCTTGGTGCTGGCCCCAGGATGTTGATGAGTGTGTGGCTGCCCTGTTCATGCTGTTACTGCGACAGGAGGGCAGATTTTCAGTCAACATCCTAATGACCTCTTTTGAAGTCTATTAAATTAATGACCCTGTCACATTGGTCTAACCTCTTACATCTTCATTTTGGATTTTTTGTTGCAAACCATTGTGTTTTGAGCACATGATAAAACAGATACTTTGGAGCACTCCTCCTCATCCCTCCAAATCTGGCACTGTGTCTTACTAGATTCAATAAAAAATTAGTTCATTATACAGTCATGAAATACAGAAGACAGAAATCAGAAAATATATTGTAAGGCAAACTATGCTTAATACTCTTCCATTCGCTTTTTACATTTCAATCTTGCTTAATCATAGGTGCCTAAAGGACATGTTTGGTTAGAAGGTGATAATCTCAGGAATTCTACAGATTCCAGGTGCTACGGACCTGTTCCTTATGGACTGATAAGAGGACGCATTTGTTTTAAGGTATATATATTTATAGTATCTAAAAATAGTTGCATTAATACATTTGTAATGCCTGGGTGTTAGGTATTAAAACCTGCCTCCTTAACAGTCTGTCCAAAGCAAATGTAAAGGAAAGCTTGAATATTTGTAAAAGGATAATTCAACAACGGTGGGGGTTTTTTTGAGGGAGGACTTGTTTTTTGAGCAGCACTCTTTCAGCAGTCACTGCCTCTGAAAACTGAATGAATTATTTTGCAAGCAAATCCAAACCTGATAAAACCCCAAACATACACACACAGGCCCTACTGCATGGATGTACCTTCCATCCTTCATTTGATTCTTGCCTCTGCAAAATGGTAGAAAAGGGCAGCTCTGTATTTCACTGTTGTTGTGATTTGAGAAGTGTAGTTCCATGGTTCAAAAAACAAAGATGGAGGAAAAGGTTATCCTTCTAGGACTTGCATACATACTTTAGACATGTAGACTGCCCTTGCTGCTTTTTAAACTAAGTCTGTGAAAAAGCCTTAACAGTAAAGTCAAATCTGTGCCATGTAATTGTCCACCACATTTAAAAAAAAAAAAAACAACTTTGAATTAATATTCTATTGTATAAACCTCCATGGTTCCTCCTCCTTCTGTTTCATCAATTCTACAACTTTATTTCACACTAAATTACTTTTTCATATTATCTGCATTATTAATTTACTCATTTACCGAAAAGAAGAAACTAAGACAATTTCCTCTCCATAAAAAGTTTAATCTAAGAAACAAGGGAGTATGTATTATAGACTTACGCACCAGCTTTTAGAAAGCTAGATTTAAAATAGTGCCATTCAGAACAATAAAAAAAGGTTTTGAAAACTGTTCTCCCTCTATTGCAACACATCCACAAAAATGTAATTTAGCACAGCTGTATTACATGCACAGGGAAGATTAGAGCTTTCCAATTTAACAAAGTTTTATATACTTACAGTTTTAATGAACCCAACTTAGGACTTTTCAAAAAACCTTGCAGCTATTGAGCATAATCACTAATTGCTTACCAAACCTCAAATAACACGTCCCCCTCAGCCCCACCACCGAGTTTTGTCTGACCTCTGTTCTTTCTGGATAGCATTTGCTTTGAGTTCTTCCCTAGTGTTTATTGAGTGCTCTCTGTTCCTTCTCTGCATTGTTTGCCTTACCATGTACACCAGAGGAAAAAATGCTGTGTCTAAATAGGGCTATTTTTATGACCCAAGTTTTAGCTTGGTTTATTAACTGCTAAAATACAAATGATGCTAATATGCTGGCAGCCCTCTTAATACGAATGTGGTATTAACAATCCAACCGAACAAAAAAACTTCTCCAACTGAGGCGCTAGTATAGAAAAGCTGCTGTTTACTACTTTAAGGGGACTATTGGCAAATAACGTATATATTAAGAACCTATGTGTGTGGACAGCCCTGATTATTCACAGTATCGCTCCACAGCAAGAAATTTGTGTCCAGCTTGTACCCCAACAAGGAGGATGTTTGAACGACTTTAATGAAGTGACTGACAGGACTGAACCCTAAATTTAGCAAGCAGTGAACTCTGTAAAATGAATGGAACTTACAGGCAGATATTACATATTGAAGAAGTACTTTAGGACTCCAGAATATTGTCTGTTTAAAAAGATAGTATGCAATCACTTGATACTTAATCAAAATTATTCTTTAATCAAATATTATAGCAGTTGTTTTATGATAGCGCATAGGTAGTGATTATTAACATTTTAATGAGATTTAAGTATATGGTGCCTAACAAAAGCAAATTAGTTTCTTCTCCAAATGAGTGTTTATAGTTTGGGTTGTTGATGGTAATTCACATTAGAATACAGCGACCTTGCTATTGTATGCTGCTATTGAACATTACAGGAAAGGCAGCAGAATACAGCTAGTCTGCATAGTGGGAGCTCATCAGCAGACCACTGGCCAAGAAACCTATAAGTGCTTTTTAATGTAGTCTGCTAGAGGTTTCATGAAAAATCTTTTACTGCCTTGAGAATGGAAGCTTATGTGGCTTCATCTTAAAGTGGATTTTGGAAAAGCGGATGTAACAGTGCCTTTGAATGCTAAGGTACATTTTTAGTAATGGATGCAAAAACCCAAATCTAATTTGGAAGTAATGGATTTCAACAGAAGAGAGAGAGCTTGTACCAAGTTTGTTTAGGCAACCTATCCTTGGGAAAACATAAAGTTAATTCTCTCTGTAGCTTATCTGTGAAGTTTAGACCTAAGATTCTCAGTCACTGTTGGTGCACCAGTTTTTAACCCATACAGAAATAATGATACTTCATTTTATTTGCCCCTTTTCCTCCCTGCCACCATATCAACTGCCACTCTGAGAGACAAGTTCATTCCATAAAAAGGCCATGGAAATCAGAGTAGCTGCAAATTCGATAAAAGCCTAGGGAGTCCCAACTGACAGGACTCAGGCTTCATCCTGTCCTAGGTAGGATATCCTGCGCATTCCCTGGACTTATGCTACAGGTCTCTGTTTGACACGGAGCCTATCTATCTTCAGAAGAGCTAGTTAGCCCCATTTATCCCCCATCCATCAGATCAAATCTATGTAGGCCAAATCAAAGAGGGCAAGGGGAAATAGCTGCTAATTGGACTAGCCAGTTTGAACGAACAAGTCACAGTCAACTTCTGTCATAACTTTAAAAGACTTGGGGATTACAACACAGAGTGGCATGTCTTTGTTTCCCACAGAAGGCTTGTTCCATCTCCTTTCCAACCATGAGTATTGTTTTTCACATTCTCTCCTGCACGCAGACGAGATAAAACATCATTTTCGTTGTAACTCTACCCCTAGGATTACGGTGGTGAATTGGAAACTAAATTGTCAAAACAATATTTTAAACAAATTTGATTACTTTCACTGAAAGTAAATCAAGTTGCAATAGGTGTGATCTGAGTTGCCTGAAATGAGATTTGTGCCATAGCGAATGGCCTAAGAAACTTCCTTCTCCGGGCTTTTACTCAGATCAGCTTAGATTTGTAATATGGGATATTCCTATTCCCTTTAACTCCCGTTTGCCTTTGAGGCCAAACAGAGACTTGACACCCAGCCTGCAGCCAGCATAGGCCCTCTGGAGAGCCTTGAATTCTGTAGCTTTGCTTCTAACCAAGATCACAAATATTCTTCTGTTGTTGGTTTGTATCTCTATATATTTATGCGGAACTTAAAATAGTTCACTGGCTAATATGCATACAGAGACAAGACGTTACCTCTGTGTATTTCTGTGTATCGGCAGATGTTCCTCATGCTCTTCCCTAACTGCACATGCCAAAAAAGACATGTATTTTCTAAGATACTTGCAGGAGAGAGCTTTGAGCCTTTTTCAAATCCACAGAACTTGAGGTCCTGGGAATGACTCATCCTTCTGTCTTCCCAAGGGCCCAGGCACGATCCAATGGATGGCAGCTTAGCACAGTGCTGCAGGGGGCCTGTCAGAGGCAAGTCAGAGCTGCTCGCAGCACACGGTCCTAGTCTAGTAGTAAGCTGATGCTACATCTTGCTACTAAGTCTCCCACCCTTAACTGCCTCTGCCTGTTCTGTCATTGTCTTTAGTGCTGGGGGCAAGTCATGGGGTTTGAAATATTCAACCTTGGCACTCTGCTTCCTCTTTTAAACGGAGAAAATTACTTTTTCACCCCACACAGAAAGCAGCAAAGGCTCCTTCTGTGCTGTGGATGTTCCATGAACTCAGTTAGAGAGTAAGTTGCTGCTCCTGGAAGGTGACTGCATACCTTCCTTAAGATCAAATTCTAAGGAAAAATGAGCAAGATAAACATCATACTAACAGATGCTCTGGGAACACGGTAGTGCGTCATCTTTCTCTTTCTAGGTCGCTTCATCTTGAGCAGGGGCTGTGAGACTTTTATGGGATTACAGCCACAGAAGGGCATTCATTCTTCAACACCATCTCTTT